TGGAAATATGGCTACGATGCTGAGGCCACAAACCTGCAATATCAGAAAGGAAAAGTGTTACGTCATGCAAAGCACAGTGGATGCTTGTTATTGGACTATAGATTGCCATGCAGAATCTAAAGCGGAATAATGAACAAATACACATGCCTATAACATGCCTCTTGCCTCAACACCTGTGCTTGCTCATTCATGAGCCAGAACGAATGTATCGCCGAGTGGAAGATAAGCAGACACATGCCTGCCTATCATACCAGTTGGTTCTACCGATTGCTCATTCAAACGAAGGTCTGACGATTGAACCTATACGTCATTTTGGACATGCTTAATATTCCTTCAGTCCAATAATGCAGTGTGTGATTTTAATTGTGGCCAATTTCAGTGAGTTCCTCACGTGAAAAGAAACTGTCCTGAAACGAGACAGCGTACATGTGGCAAGTAACATACAGCCACTGAGAGCACGCTCTCTGCCCTGCTTTGATGCCAGTAAGATGAACTCCCGGAAATTCCCCGCATATATTGAAGCACCTCTGTTTCATTTGTAATTTGTGATTGATGCATTTTTTTTATATTTCAATATTTTAATATATCTACATTACAAATGTTTTTTTTAACTTATTCATCCTCTATTACCTCACCATGACTAGTTACCCTAACACAATAAAATAAAAGCATTTTAACGTACTGTATATACAGTATATATTCTGTATTGATTTTGCAAGAAAAACAACAAAAGTAATCCTCCGTGGGTTGGGTTTACCGTTGCGGTCGCGTGAGGACTAAGCAGGAGGGAGGGGTGGCGGAGTGCAGTGATCAGTGGGTTGCGAGAGAATATGAGCAGTGGTGTCATGGGGAGCATAATGTTTGGTTGGTGTGAACACAGAGAGTCGGTTGGGTGGCGAGTGGTTTGATGTACATTTACTTGAGTGGTGAAAGGGCTATGTTAAGGCGGAGAGATCAGATCTAAAGCATCGCGGTAACCTGTCTTGTATAAAGGAGCTCGAGGGATTCCGTGCAGGCAGAGTTAAAGATTTGTTTTGGTCCAAAACTGTGAAGTAGTATTTTTTCTTTGCGTCTGTTGTTTACAGTTCCGTAGTATTTTGAATTCGGTGGCTGTGCAATAGATGTTCAATAGGGTGTGCGGCACGAGGGGGTAGTGAGTGAGTCCAATATGAGCTCTTAGCCCAATGAGACATGCTCCCAGGGTGAGAGAGTGAGAAGGATGAGCAGGGCTTTGATGAAGTGCTCTAGGATGTTACCGTTAAATGTTTGGACATATCAGGGCATGCCAGAAGGCATGCCTATATGTTGTGGTCACACCAAGGAGACATCTGGGGAGAGAGAATCGTGTATTAGGTCTAAACTTGGGACCACATTGGCCTGTGCTGGAGGTACCGTGTGTAATTTTTATTGTTTGAGTTATGGCGGCTGATCGGATATTATAGATTTCCAGATTTCAGCCACAGTTGGTTGGTCTGCGATGGTTTTAAAGGTTATTTTCTTTCCTACAGCATATAAATGTGTGACCTTGTAGAATTGTGTTGTGATAGCAGCATTGTGGGATGATGCTTATTTTGAGCCATGTGCAATTTCAGTGCAGGCAGATGCATTGCAAGTGGTAAAACGATTGAAGAGCACTCAAGGAAGCGGTATTGAGGTGGGGGGGACCCTAACCTTGGTATGTGTGTAGTCAATTATTTTAGTTGGGGAAGCTACTGGTGTTATTGATGCATGCATATTGCCATGGATTCTAATCGATTGTGGGGTACGGATGGAGATGTAGGGTGGTGGTCATGGTCTTGTGTCTTTCACCAAATATTTGGAAGATTTGTATATGGTAGTGAGTGTGTGTGAGAATTCAGGGACCTCTTTAGCTTGTGCGTCTATTAGAATTAGTTTGATCTATTAAAAAACTTTGACAAGTTCTGTACTATCTACAGCAGTTTCCATTACAGTATAGGATTATGATCATATGTTAACTACATATGATTGAAGCGAGCACCCACAGCTACACAATTTTTGTGGAAACCAGGAGAGTTAAGGGCTTCATTTTTGGGAATGTTAGAATAAAAATGTAGTTCAAGTTCATGTGACAGGAGATGGGACATGGGAGAAGGTAGTAGGGTATTTGTTTTTAATTGGAGGCAGGTAATTGATGGTTTAATGCATTTGCATTTCCAAGTGAAAAGGCAAATGTTAGTCACATTTCACCCTGTGTGAAAGCACAGGAAAGGTTTCTGCCTTGGCAAGGTGTAATTTGTAGAGTGAAGCCTGGCTATATAATCTCCAACAATGTAGGTGCTGCCTTAGATATTATGAGTCCAATTATGAGGTCGTCATCTACAGTACTTGTAGGTTGCTTTAGTTGTGCAGCAAATAGAATAATTATGTCTCGGTTAGTTGGGTTGTTACAAGATGACTGTGCAAAGTGGTTCAGTGGAGATAGCGAAAAGGGGAGGAGAGAAAGGGCACCCTCTGATTGAATTGTATCTTCGGGAGGTGTGACAATTTGTGAAAACTGAGATAGCATCGGTGCATGAACTGATGACCAAATCCCAAGCGATACATGGGTTGATGTACAGCCTTTGTAGGCTCAATACCTTTCTCTTCTCTCCTGCATATAACTGACTGTCTCCCATCTATGAGGGATATCATACATTACACTGCAAACACATTTCCCTCTTTTCCGGTGTTTCCCTGCAATGTCCATGTCCCACTTGTTTGCACAGCATCTTGAGATACAGCTGCACGTGGAAGCTATGTGAATCCTAATTGTGTTGCATTGCAGAGAGAAAAGGACATTCTGCACGATCAAATGCCCTTTCCTTATGCAAAGTGACCGCGTGCGCCTCAGTGTTTGTCCGAGCTGCAATTGTTATTGTGCTCACGATTATGCCGAGCATTATTGTTCGAGCGCTTACCGCAGGTGAAACAAGTTGCTTTTTTTTCTTCCTGTGCATAACGGACAACAGAACCTTTCCCCAGCTGGAGTGTGAGGGCTTCTACACGTGGAAATGGGATTGTAATGTGAGGATTGGTCTGACACCGCGTTGGTTTTGTGGCTTAGTAAGACCGTGAATTATTGCATGAGGGAGGGGGGTGGAGGGCACTGGACATTATCGAATGTGCCAGAGTCTCGGAGAGTGGCCTGCACGTCTAGCTGCACGGTGTGGCTCTCGTGCGATGCCACAAGCTCCCGCCGAGGTGTCTCTCACAGTTGAAAGATGGTGGCTGGCGAATGCAATGAGACATGCGTGTTGAGCGACGAGAAAGGAGCTCTAGGACAGGGTCTGTTATTTGGGATTGTGTCTTAAGAAAAGACAAAATTAGACCATGAGAGTGGGTACAGGATGATCAATTCAATGGGTTTTTGATAGAATATCCATAAAATACTTCTAGTTAATGAGCCATTTGATGTGTAGCCTTTGTTGTAATTGTTTTTTTTTATCAGAATCAGAAAATTTATTTATACTGGAGGACTACGATGAGCTATATAACTCTTTTTCACAGATGTTCAGTCGGGGTGGTTAAGAGCGTTATAACAACAGTACAAAAACACGATCGGGGTGCAAAGTACAATAAAGGTAAACAAATCGCCCAAAAACACACAAATGAAACTAAACCATCCCTATCCTATCAGACAAAGCCCACTGAGATATTAACTTATTTTCCAGAAACGACCTGGCCACAAATGATAGCTCAACAAAGTGGCTCATCCTGTGGCTATTTATAGCAACCCTCCAATCTCTTGCTTACCATGCGACAAAGATAAAATCACATATAATTGCAAGATGGGATTTAAGTTTATGGGACTTGGTGTAGCAGCTGGGCTCTTTGCTAGATTGGGAAGAGTCATCGTAGACTCTTGGTTATTTGCACTTAATAGCAATCAGAGCACTTTCATTGAGCTGGCACAGTTGATTGGGTTTAGGATTGTCGTGTGCACTTTGATTTTCTAGTGTTCTTTGTGGTAAGGTAAGGCCTTACCTTTCTTGTGGACAAGTTGATGCTTACTGTCCAGATGTGAGTTCTTTGTTTTTAAGATTTTTTAGCTGTCTGCCTCATAAAGATTAATTTACCTCTGAAGGCTTGGAGGGAGGCATATTGTTTATTCAGAGAGACGGATGTGAGAATTGTAATTCAAGTTTGTTAAGATTAATTTTGAAATGCCATCTTTCAGTTGGATATGTAATTATGGATTACTGAGGAGATTGACAAGAGTATGGTAATAAAAGGGATATTTGTGGATTAAATCATTTTAAAGGAATAGATGTTAATGCACTGCGTGAGGCCAGATGCATGGGCAAGGTACATTTCAGGTACAAAACACTCCCAATATTTAAACAATATTTTTACCGAATGTCTTAATTTAATACGTAGGTTTTAACGATCAATATTATGATTCGTAATAGTTTTTTGGGCTAGACCACATAAGTATAAAGACAAATGTTGTCACACACCCTCATCTGCCTGACGCAGCCAAACAAAGCAAGAGAGAAATTCCTCTTTTCCAAACATTCTCCTCTCGGCATGTGATGAACTTCAAATCGATGTGGCAAAGAGGAATTCCATGCTATTCTCAAGCAATGCCCACATGCAGCTTATTGATTTTAGATTCTAAAATGCCTACATTTCCATGACTGGATATATCTAAACTAAACTATGTTTTATTCTACCAGGTAAGGCCCACTGAGCAAAACAGCTCTTTTTTAAAAGCGACCTGGCCGCAAAGAGTAACTCAATGAAGTGGCTTATCATGTGGACATTTATAGCAGCCAAATAGTCGAAACGCAGGTGGAGGGAAAAACCAGAGAACACAGAGAAAAATCCACGTGACCACGGGGATAGAGACATGCAAACTCTAAATATACAGGCGTCAGGGTCGGGATCGAACTCACGACCTCCTGCATACCAGGCGAGATAGACAACATCTCGTCACCACCGCGCCCATTTCCGGTGGAGAACGTGGTCAGGAGGCCGGTCAATCACCACATGAAACTGACCCAGGCCGAAGTGTGCAACGGGCTCCATCTGGCACAGATATCCAGAGCCGCCGTCGATGACGCGCAGCTGAGGGCCGCTCTGCGCTGTGTACAGCACCACCTTGGCACCACGGGCGAATGCCCCGAACCGCGTGCGTGGCACCACGCGCAGCCAGCCATTGCCTGTGCTCTGCAAAAGACAACCACAACAGTCGTAATAATAATAATGTAGACTTGTCACGTGCACACCTGTTGTACTGTGGCATGAGAAGGCCTATTTATACAGCATTGTATTATTGCGCACGTCCATATGTTCAGGAACTAATTCAAATGTCAAGCTCTGCTCACACGATGAGAGGGCTTCAGGAGAGAGATCGTGTAGTTTTGCCATTCCTCCTCTGTTGAAGGGAGCGTAGACTAATGATTTACAGTCCATAGTTTTGGTTGCATGGCCACAATTGCACTGTGGTTTATCTTAATATTCCATTCATGGAGATGTGCATCAGCCTGTTGATGTTCTTGTGCAGTTGATGGTTTCACCACTGGTGTCTTTGAGGAGGAAGAGGAATGTTAAAGGCAGGGGGTGCGACGTTTGGGTTTCAAATGCGGTATACATTTCTAAACAAAATATTTGGTGATAATGCATTGGTAGGGGTGGCACAAGCACAAATAACGAAACACTTTACAAATTAGTCAATAACGCTGCGTGTGGTTTTAATAGGGAAACTATATAATAGAAGACATTTTGATCAATGTGTTATGAAGGGCGATTGCCTGAAACGTCACCTTTTATAGATTTGTTTTCCTTTTAAGGCCACAGTGTTGATGAAGATGTGGAATGTTACGTATTAACATTTACAGCAGAGCAGCTGAGAAAAATGTTCAGATATTTCCTATGTCTAGATCAAAGTTTAATTTACAGTACCATGATTCTGGAAGATGAGATAAATGACAAAGAGTCTGCAAATGGGCTTTATACGCTAGTGTTAGAATAGTCCCCAACAGGCTGCGCAAATTTTGGTGCAGTGTACTTGCCTGCAATAACGGCATGCCCGGCAGTATTTGGTTAACATATCCGACTGCTGATGAGAACCAGAAGGTAGAAACAACCAGAGCATGCTTGCCGAAACAAATGCTGCTGGATAACATTAGTCTGGACGTGCCAGAGGCATATGGAATAGAGGTATTTAATTTTGCATGTGGAGAGATGGATGTTTATCTGGTTATTGAAGAGTTTTATTTCAGTACGGTTTTAAAAATACACATCAGATGTTGACATTTTCCGTGATATATCCAGATTGTGTTGCATTTGAACGTACATGGACAATGTTTTCATAGTGGAAAATTTTGACTTTGCGTAAAAATTACTTTATTGCCCATTTTATTTTGTGTACCTCCTCTAGTGTTGCCACGCGAGGTACACAAAACTGGGCTAAGCATGGGAAGAAATATATTTGACAATAGCACAAGAGGGGAGAACGACTTGTACGTGATTTGTCTTAAGTGGTGTAATATCACACAACTGACAAAAAACTGGGACTTTTATTTTCCCCGGGAAGATTTAGAGATTTCCCAGGACAGCACCTTCAAAAAGAAGATGATGCTGGGAAAACCAGGACAAGGTACAACCCTAAACTCGTCGCCAGGAGGGGCTGCTGCAAGTGGGGGTGGGGGGCTCAACCTGCCTAGGGCCTCCCGGGAGATGTTAGTCAGCAAACTCCAAAGGATGTCCCGGTGGCGAGATGTGAACTACCTCACCTGGTATTCAGGAGGTCGTGGATTCAATCCCACCCTGACGTCTATATATTTGGAGTTTGCATGATCTCTCCCTCTCCCTGTGGCCACGTGGATTTTTCTCCGGGTCCTCCGGTTTTTCCCTCCAAATTTAGAATCAACAATGCGTTGAGAGTATTTGGCTGCTAGAAATTTTGACAAGATAAGCCACTTCGTTGAGCTATAATTTGTGATAGCCAGGCGCTTCTGAAAAAGAGCTGCATAGCTCAGTGGGCCTTACCTAGTAAAATAAAATTCGTTTTATAGTTAAAAAAATATAAAATAAAAATAGTTCATAGCTTTAGTTTTTTTTAGGCCCCTTTAGCTGGGACAGCAGGGACTCACCTAAAGGCACCAGGGCGGATTTGGACAGTGGCAGCAGCAAAGCGATGTACGGGCAACCATCTGGCCGCTGGGGTGTACACACTCGCCAACCAGCCAAGCAGGGCCACCTAATCTGGACATTTGTCTCATTCATGCCCACACTAAGACAGTGGAAGTAGTATTATTATTTTTAGAAACACAAGGGCAATTTTCGCTTCTCTCTCTTGGCTAGGGGCCACCCCACAGCTGCAACATAGGAAGCCTGGGGGTCTTGCTATTTGGCACCGAACTTGGATTTGGTGCCAGCATTTTCACAGCAGGAGTGAGGACGGACTTCCTTGCCAATGTGGCGGTTGCCGCAGGTGTGCAGGCCGGTCTTTAAAAAAAACATTTTTTATTTTACCAGGTAAGGCCCACTGAACCATATAGCTCTTTTTCAGAAGCGGCCTGGCCATAAATGATAGCTCAACGAAGTAGTTTATCGCGTGAAAATGTATAGCAGCCAAATACTCGAGATGCAAGTTTCTAGATGTGGAGGGAAACACCGGAGGATCCGGAGAAAAATCTATGCGACCACGGGGAAAACATACAAACTCCAAATATACAGGCATCATGGTCGGAATTGTGATCATACCCATAAACTCCTGAATACGACGAGAGGAAGTTAATATCTCGCCACCGCGGCACATTTTCACAGGCACCGCAAGCAGTGATAGAGGAGATGCTCACGACCTCCCGCCCCAAGTGAAAAAAAAATCATTGTCACCATGCTGCTGCTCCTCCTTCTTTGGTAGAAACGTTTTAAACTGTAAAGTTATATTTTAACGAGTCGCCTAGCCTAAACACTGACAGACGCAATGCAGCTAGGCAGCTGCTTGGACTGTTTTTCCAATCCCAGGATACAGAAGCTGGGCTACAGGATGCACTGCATTACAGAGACCGCAACGTTTTTGGCGATTGGCTGTTCAGTCTGGTTAGGATGGAGCACGAGCGGCGAGGGAGTAGAGGGGGGATTCTGGAGGCTATAGACTGTACGACTTAGTAAAAGACTGCACCACAATTGCAGAGCCCATATGTAGAGTTGTATTTGATTACAATGTTATATATTTTACGAGATCTGGCTGGCAGTGCATCTTAGTGGGAACTTCTATTTATGGAATTGGCAAGTTCGGCTTTGACACGTGACCCAGTGAGGGAATGAGGGGGTTTCCAAAGGCCGTGCATTAGAGCATTTAAATTGTCAAGGTGAGCGGCAGCAAAGGCATGTGTAAGGCTTTCAGCGGCAGATGGAGTCAAACATTGTTGGTTGTGGGAAATATTGTGCAGAGAGAGGTGATGGGTTATATGGTCCTAGAAATGTGAGGTGTAATGGAGAGCCAAGGATAAAAGTTGATACCAAATATTATGGGCTGATAAGATAAATAACATATTTATAATTATACAGGGTGTCCTATAAAGTCCCTATCTTCTTCTTCTTCCTAGCGTTGTTCCCGCTGTGGCGCAGGGTCCGCTTTTCGGCATTGTCTTCTCCATTTGGCTCGGTCCAGGGCATCTTCAGGGGATGCGTTGACCGTCTTATGTCTTCCTTTATTCGATCCATCCATCGCTTCTTCGGACGTCCACGTGGACGGCGGCACTCTGGCTCAATACGCATGGCAGTCTTGGCCACTGATGACTCTTCACTTCGCATCACATGGCCGTACCACCGAAGCCTTGCCTCAAGCATCTTGTCCGCAATGGGGGCCACACCAAGTCGCTTCCGAACAGTCTTCGTTCATGACACGATCCCATCGAGTGAGTCCGAGGCTCCATCTGAGCATCCTCATCTCCATGGTGTGGAGAGCTTGTGGCTGGCCAGCACTCGGATCCATAGAGTGCCACCGGTCAGACGATGGTCTTGTAAATTTTTCCCTTCAGCCTATCTGGCATTTTCCGATCACAGAGGACTCCGGTGACTTGCCTCCACTTCATCCATGCCGCATTGACTCGTGACCTCACATCAGTCGTGATGCTACCATCTGAGATGAAAGTCCCTATCTATTTTATTGAAATCAAAGCAATGTATGGTAAATCATTAGCAGAGGTATATTTTATTTGAAGCTTTCGTGACTGCAGGAATCCATACTCTTTGGTTCTTTCGGTAAAGTCACGTAGGTAGAAAAATAAAATAAAACAAAAAATAATATATCACGACGTTTCGATCACAACACAAGCGGTCGTCCTCAGGCGAAAAAAATAATCCAGCAGTGGAACTACTGAACCAGCGAGAGAGCTGGCAAGCAAGCAGGGTCTGAGCTGGAGAGGAATTCCATCCCCGGACGCAAACACGTCAGTTGTGTTAATGGGGAAGATTAGGGAGAGAAAGATTAGGGAGATAGATTAGCATGAAATGAGCTTCCGTCACCGCTTAAGAGTATCATCCCCGCATATGGGCACAACAACAGTGTTAATGAGAGATTAGCACCATGAGAGTACAATCCAAAGGACATGTGAGCATGAGAGTGCAATCCAAAGGGCATGTGAGCATGAGAGTGCAATCCAAAGGGCATGTGAGCATGAGAGTGCAATCGACAGGAAATGTGAGCATGAAAGTGCAATCCAAGAGATCTGCTGGAGGGGGGGGGGGGGGAGAAGGGGGGAGAGAGGGGGCAGGGCAGAAAAGTGACTCTGCAGCAGCACTTGAGTCACTGAGATCTAAGAGAGAGGCACAGAGAGAGAGAGAAAGAGCCACAGAGAGTCGGAAATAAAAGCTGATATAGGCAGGTAGGATGGAAAAATCACAGTCAGTTAAGACTTTACCTGGTTAATAATGTCCTTCCAATGATTGCTCAACTCACCTACCTACAAACTGGCCCGATTTCTGTCTGAGAACCTGCTTCCATTCACGGGAAAGACCACCTCAGCAGTACTTAATTCAGCTCACTTGGTTTCTCTAATCAAGGACATTTCACTGTCTCCAGATGATTTGCTTCTCAGCTTCGATCTAGTCTCTGTGTTCACCAAGGTACCTATACCTGACACCATAGCAATCATTGAAGACTTGGTCCAACAGGGACTGAATCCTGATGTACCAACTTTGGTGAGGCACTGCCT